TATATATATATATATATATATATATATATATATATATAATTATAAATTATTATATATATTATGATAAAAATAATCCCAAACAGAAATTTCAAGACTTTCGTATTGATTTAATTACACTAAATAATTAATAATCACCTTCATGTTAAAAACATTCAGACTTTAAGCATGTCCTAGCTCCTCCTTAAAAGGCTACTGAAGTAGTTAATTAAAATAAGCTGTTGAATCAATATAGGACTGGCCGTTGTGTTGGCAATAGAACCATCAACCACCTGATGTATGCTGACGATCTTGTAATCTTTTGTCCATATAGTGCTGGTCTGCAGCAGCTGTTAAGGGTTTGCTCTCAGTATGGATTGGACTTTGATATTAAATATAATGCAAAAAAGAGTAACCTCATGATTATCAGGAGCAAAGAGGACACTAAACTATCTTTCCCTGATCACTCTGTCTGGCAGCATTCTCCAAGTCAGTGAGGAGTTGAAATACTAGGGACATTATCCAACATTTTTCAGTCAGGTCATCTGGACAGTTTCTTTTTTTGTGTGTGCTGAAGAGGAACTAGGACATTACATAACTGCTGACCTGTCTGATGATAGGGACATTTACAGGCAGCATTGTATGCCATATGTACAAGCTAATATGCTTTTTCGGAAGTTCTCTATGTGCTCAGTATCTGTTAAAAGTACACTCTTTAAAGCATGTTGTACTCCAATGTATACTGCCCACCTGTGGCGGCATTACAGAAAAAGCAGTATGCATAAACTTCAGGTGGAGTACAATGATGGCATGAGGATGCTGCTTAAGGTGCTGCGATGGAGTAGTGCCAGTCAGATGTTTGTAAATGCCAGTGTACCAACTTGTGCTGCTGTGCTTCGAAACCTTATGTACAGATGCATGTGTAGGCTAACAAACTCTGTAAATAGCATCATTTATACTCTGACCAACCCCGTACAAAACTCGGTTAGGTTCTCTTCTAGTCTATGGAATCACTGGCGCCTTAATTTATATGGCAATGGATGAACATTCTAATTTTTTTGTGTTTTGTTGGCGTTATCTTTTTTTTTTTTTGCCAGTTTTTGTTTACTAGTATGGACCACGTGTGTTTGAAATAAAGTTTTTGATTGATTGATTGATTGATATCTTATATTTTTCTTCAAGGCTCAGCTGACAGTGACGTACCTGGAGCTGCAAGCTGGTTATCTGGACACCAACAGAACACCTGAATTGATGGAGGAGTTTGTTGCAAAGAAGATTCTGCTCTGCCACAAATACCTTGATCTCTTTAAAATGTAGATAGATATTATGTGTACTACATACACAACACATGACGAGCATGAAGCTAGGGAGAAAATAAGTCTCAATTGTTGTTTTTATTAGTTTTAATTAAAAACATAAAACTTCAAAACGTAATATCCCCTTCAAACGACACCATATGGACTGGATGGGCAAATTCCTATGACCCCTCTAGGACCTTGATGAGGGTAAAGAGTAGGGATGCACTGATCCACAATTTTGACTTCCAATCTGATCCCGATATCTAAATCTAGATATCTGCCAATACCGATACTATTCCAATATCATCATCATCATTGATTTTATATGAGGCTGTAATAATCTCCTCTCAAGTAAAATTTGTATAAATATATGCATGCATGTCCAAAAAGGCAACTTGAGGTAAGTTTTATTAATGTTGGATAAGTTTCAAAGTTAGAATTAAATCTTGCTAACACAAAACATGTTCCTTTTTATTCCTAGCATTAAAGTCAGAGTCGGTCAGAGTCAGAGAGTTTTATTGTCATACACACCACATGTGGTACATGTGGTGGGACGAGATTATGTACACAGGGTCTCGTTATATCACACAATAAAATATATATATAAAAAAAACAGCAATAAGATCCAAGATATGAACTAAGAAAATAATAGCATAAAAACAATATGCTGAAGTGAACATTAAAGTGATTAAATGGCTTCAAACATCTGCTAAGTTCATGGCCAAAATCAACACAAACATGTTCCTGTTTTTAGTATTTTACATCGCTTTATAATGTAGCTGTTTTTGTTTCTTTTTTTTTCAATATAATTTTCTTTTATTTTTCAATTCATATTGAACAACTCCACCAGCCTGATGAAGAAAGCTCATCAGAGACTCTACTTCCTCAGGCGGCTGAGACGAGCTGGTCTGGAAGCTCAGTCCTCACCTCCTTCTACAGGTGTGCAGTGGAGAGCATCCTGTGCTCCAGCATCAACGTGTGGCATGGAGGCTGCACAGCTGCAGAAAGAAAAGCTTTGCAGAGAGTGGTGAAGGCTGCACAGAAGATGTTGGAGTCAGCCTCCCCACCATCACAGACATCTACACCTCTAGATGCAGGAAGAGGGCCACCTGCATCATGAAGGACCTCACTCACCCAGCACACATACTTTTTGCCCCACTCCCCTCAGGCAGAAGGCTGAGGAGTATTAAGTGTAGAACCACTAGACTGAGGAACAGCTTCTACCCTGAAGCTGTTAGACTCATGAATCTCTAACCAGAAAAAAACCCTGTGAAAATCACTGCAAAAAAAAAAAAAAAAAAAAACCCTGTGAAAATTGCTGTAATGCCACTTGGTTGTGGATGTGTGCTGCTGACTGTCTATGATGCTGATCTCATGCTGCTGACTGTCTATGGTGCTGATCTCATGCTGCTGATTATTTCATGTTGCTTTGTTCATTAGTCCTCATCTGCTCACAGACTCATGTTCGTGCTGCTGTTGTTTTGGCACATTGTTTTTGTACTATTAGTGCTTAGTGTATTCTTAGTTTAGTGAACGTAGTATATTCTTAGTTCATGACTCAGTTCTTACTGAAGTTTTTCTTTACAATTTGTGTTGTTGTTGGATGTAACTGGGACCCTATGTACACAGTTTTGTCCCACCTCATGTATCACGTGTGGTGTGTATGTACAGTTAATCTCTCTGACTCATGTTTTTTATGATTTATTTAGTACTATTGTACTGATAAATATCTCCTGGAGGGTAAAAGTAAACTATATTTTGGCTGCAAATATTCAATCAAGCTGCGACAGACATGCACATGGATCGGAAATCTCTGCAGGGTGGATCAGAAAAATCCGATATGTAAATTATGCTGGTATCAGAGGCCGATACCAATACCGGATGGGAATGGCCCCATGCCTAGTAAAGAGTTGATCCAGTGGTCCACAGCCAGGATGGAACCCGCATTGTTCCTTCTGGAACTGAGGTTCAACCAACAACCGGACTCGCTTCTCCAGTACCACTAAATAGAGCTTACCAGGGAGGCTAAGGAGAGTGATGCCCCTATAATTGGAGCACACCCTCCGGTCCCCCTTTTTGAAGAAGGGAACCAGCACCCCAGTTTGCTAATCCAGTGGCACTGCCCCCGATGTCCAAGAAACATTGCAAATAAGTGTCAATCAAGACAGCCCCACAAAATCCGGAGCCTTAAGGAAATCAGGGTGAATCTCATCCACCCCCGGAGCCCTGCCTCGGCCCCTCAGCCATGGTTATTGTCAGACCAAACCCAAAGTCCCCAGACTCAGCTTCCTCCATGGAAGATGTGTTGGTGGGATTGAGACGGTCCGAGAAGTATTTATTCCACCTTCCGACAACATCCCTGGCTGAGGTCAACAGCACCCCTCCTTCACTGAACACAGCGTTAGTAAAGTGCTGCTTTCCCCTCCTCAACTGCCTGATGGTTTGCCAGAATCTCCGCAGAGCTGACCGAGAGTCTCTATCCAAGGCCTCACCAAACTCCTCCCATTAACAATTAATTTAAATTTAACCAATTAATATTAATTGAATGAATAATTATTAATTAACAATTACTTCAAATATTGATTTTTGTAATAAAGTGGTTGTTCCACAAGAGGTAGTGACTGTTCTGAAATTTCCAAACAATCTCCATCCGCATGTTCCTCACTTAGAAGTCACTTTGTATAAACATGTCTGCATTAATGTAATATAACAAATGAAGTCCCAAATCAATTTATACATCTCCACTAACCTGCACAAGAAACCAGGAAATTAGGACAGAGACCCAGGGGTTTCCACTGTGGGACGTCCTCTTAGCTAGAGACAGCGCCTTACCTGAAAGAATTAAGAGATTAAGTAAACTTCTTGAAAAAAAACAAACCTACCGGTAATTGTAAATACCTTCAACAATCTTGTAAACCCATACCACTGGGCAGAGAAGTTTCATTCATTCAACCTTTATTGAAACAAATAAGTCACGTTGAGCCTCAAAGACACATGAGCATCAGATCACATGTTTTCCAGGTGAGCCAGGGGAGCCAAATTCAGATAAATACACAGTTGTTTTGGGGACAGGCAGAACTTAATGACATCTACCTTGAGTCTGTGTTGGTCCAAACGATTCCGTTCATTAATGAACAGAAATGACTGAAATGTTGTAATTTTATATTGAGAAAAAATCCAAAACTTCCCCCAAAGAATGGGAAATTGGGGGAAGAATCAGTTTTGTGCAGTATGTTTCCTTGACTGATGAAGCCTTCCGGATGGAAGGTGAAACGTTTCAGCTAAAAATGAAACTGTCCAGATGACCTGACTGAAAATTGTTGGGTAGTGTTCAATATTTTCAATGTCAGAATGAATGAAACCGGTCATATCTCAGCCAAAAATTGTTTTATAAATATGGGGGGGGGGGGGGGGGACCTAAATAAGTTGCTTTGGTGTATAAGTCGCAGGGCATACAAATTATGCAAAAAATAGTGGCTAATAGGCCGGAAAATATGATAGTCAAGATACTCAAAGCTCTTTACAACGATCTGTGTCCTCATGTACCCATTTATACAGCTCTCTACTAGATCTATACAGAGAATAATCAGAGCTTTATCACATTCATACACTGATGCTTCACACATCAGAGGCAACGAGGGGTTCAGCGTCTTGCCCAGGGACAGTTCGAATCAAACACCCACCCCTCCCCCAACTCTTGCATTGGAGGATGACTGCTCTAACCACTCAGCCACAGCTGCCCTAGTTAGCTTTCAGCTAGTATTCTATTTCTTTTATATGTTTGCTCCCTTTACCTAACAAGTATTTTGCTTTTTTTTTAGCTTTAGCAACAAGAAAAAAGGTCATTCAGGCCTCTGCACACAGAAAATACAATTTCTCTACTTGAAACTGTTTTCAATGCACATTGAGGCCATTCACACCATTATCTGAATGCAATCAAATTGCTAAGAATGATTTTTAGAGGACAGGTGTGACTGGGACCTAAAGAGAAAAACCAGCACACACACACTAAAAAAAAATTCAATAAATAAAAAAATAAACAAACAAAAGAAAGTCTGCTCCAAAGTGTGCTGAAGTGGCGTACGGTGGAGAAAAGCCTAAGCTTGAGAGTACATTTCACACCTGATAAAGAACTGGAATTAAATGAGACTTTTAAGTTAAATCAATGCAGTTCAGGAGAGAGAGAGAGAAAGGCAGGAAAGGAGTAAAGGAGCTTGAGATTAGCAAGCAATAGAGAGGAAAGAGATGGAGATGTGTGGTAAGAAAACTCCTTTTGAGTGTGTTGGTGTGTGTTGGGAAGTTGACATATCCATCAGTCAGTTCGCATAGGACAGTGGCAAGGTTAAGCAGTGAGCAGCATGCATGAATGACAACAAGAACACACGCAAACACTCATATAGTCTGGTCACAGTAACCACTTCACAACACCCACAGCTTCCCCCCACAAGAACATTCTACATTCATGGTTCCACAGTCGCTAACTCCTAATTAAACAGATTAATCTAATTTATGTAGACCCTCTGGCTGTTAAGTGAGAGGAGAGCTCTTAGTTGAGTCATTTGCTCTGCTCTTTTTGATCACCCTACAGAAAAACGTCATGTAATACAGCAATTTGTCTCCTCTAAAACACACAGCGAATCAGCTAAATGGACAAAAAACAGGACAAATCAATTAGCAGCAGGCTTGATAAAGGACGAAATGATGACATGAGAAAGATGTTCATTGTCTGTAATAAAGACAAAACAACAGGCAGCAAAAATTTACACAAAGAAATGAAAAACACACCAGTGCAGTGACTGATTTGTGAATGTATTTCAAAGAGAACAGTTTTGTGCTTAAAACCTCTAGGGCACCACCAAACATGAACATTTGTGGGACTACATCCCTGCATACATAATTTCAGCCTTATGTCCACAAAGAAATAGAGTTTTAACTAATTTAATGGTAATTTTTAAAAATTACTCCAGAACAAAAAAAGCCTTAAAATACCACCCTGGCACAAACAGTCAAAAAGCAACCTTCTGGAAAACTATGATGTCATAAACCAACCTTTGTCCCATCTGACACAATGCAGAGAAGGAAGTATAAGTAAGTACAAGTGCTTTGTGCTGTCACCATTGTATGTTCCCAACAATGAAGAAATTAGTTATTTGCATTTAACCCATCACACCTGAGATACACCCAGGTGTGATGGCTATGTAAGCACCCAGGGAGCAATTTGGTATTGGGTGACTTGCTCAGAAACACCACAACATGTGGGATGGCGGGGAGTCAAACCACGACTTTCTGGTCTTCAGTTGGCTGCCCTATCTCTACAGCACCTTGGCCCCATCTCAAGGAAGGTTGATGTCGTATGTGTGCAAAAGATCTAGAGCAGCAAGGCTTGAAGCATTGGTGGAGGGTTTAAGCTGTTTTACCATGGCGTGGATAGGAAAAGGAGTAGAGGTGTCCCTTGTCCCTGAAGGAAGAGCTTGCAAGTAATGTAACAGAGGTGAAAGGAGTGTCAGATAGGGTGAAGTGTCTGAAATTAAAAGTGGAAGGTGTGATGTAGAATGTTGTCAGTGAGTGTGCTCCACAGGCTGGTTTTGAGGTAGAGAAGAAAATGAAATTCTGTAAGGCTATAGTAAACACTTTTCCAAAAGAGGACAAAACATATGGTGACGTTAAAGAGTAGGCGGCAGGAGGACGCAGGTAAACTACATTCTGTGTAGACGAGGTAACCAGGGGGAGAATGGAGACCTTAAGGTTGTGGCTAGAGAGAACATGACCAGCCAACATCTAATGGTGGTGTGTAGGACAAGTGTTGTCATATTGAAAAAGAAAAGGATCACAGGATGGCGTCACAGGATCAGCCTTCACTTGGTTCAGATCTTACCTCGCTGACAGATCCTTTTGTGTCTCCATCAAGGATTTTAGTTCCGCAGAGGCAGAGCTTAAATGGGGGGTTCCGCAGGGGTCCATCCTGGGTCCCCTCCTATTCTCTTTATACCAGCTGCCGCTTGGTGATATTTTCCGGAAACACAACATGCCCTTCCACTTCTATGCCGATGACTGTTAAATTTACTTCCCCCTAAGACACAATGGTACATGCTCTATTCAACCGCTGCTCAACTGCCTGGCTGACTTAAGAATCAGAACTCTATAGGTCAGACTTTCTGGCCTTTAGGTTCTTGGTGGTAAACACATTTTTCATTTAACTTTCCTAAACCAATGAACATCTCGAGTCAGAGCACTGAAATGGCACCAGTTAGAAAAAGACATCAGACTGCAGTTTCCAATGCAGTTACTCCAGAGCAAATAACTATTGTGCCACCTACCAAACAAGTCATCTTTTGCCAAGGCGTAGAGGATGCGGGAGGCTCCGATGAGATTGCTCATTGCAGCAGAGAGAGTTGAGGAATACACTCCAACGATGACAAAGGGATACCAGACATTGATGTCTCTGAGAAAACTGTAGTCCCTCTGAAGAAGCAGACTGTAACAGTTTACAGAAAAAAAAGATTAACAGAATAACTCTAGCACTTAATTATTAGTCCACATGGTTTCATTTGAAAGGGCAGAGATGGCATGCTTTCTTTGTCGAAAGCAAAACCAAACAAAAGTCCGTTTCTTAATCATTTAACGTGTACTTTGAGTGACAGAACTTTACAAAAGTTCAACCACGTTTCTCACTATTTTTAATCAAAATTCAAAAGATGAAGGTAAGTGAACTTCAGAGTTAAAAATAAATAAATAAAAGCAATTGACTGAACATTGAGGAAACCAGATATGGGACAAACATGGATCCATAGTAGCACAGACCCCTTATTCACAATCAGATTCAAAGTACAACTGCCTTTAATAGTCTGTACAAAACAGGAAAGGAGTCAGACGAAAGGAAATAAACATTTGAGAATCCAAACCAAATGTCAGAAATAAGTGGGGTTCAGATGTTCACATGTCCTGGTGCTGCCTGAGATCTGCCTGAAAGGATAGCCCATGGTCATTCAAAGTATTACGTTAGCATACATGTGTGTGTTCATGCTGTCTGTAAGCAAAATATCTCCATATCCCTTGAACAAACTAAACTTTTAAGGAAAAAATCATTACATGTACATCTCCAAGTGATTAACTTCTGAAACAAACTTAATTCAGGATGACTTTCACATTACAGAGTTTGTGCTAATACTTGATATAGTTGCAGTTGACAGTCATTCACAACATTTACACCAAGAGCTTGTTTTTATAATAAAAAATAAAAAACACATACAAAAAAAACCCAATAGCAGTTGGAGTCAATCCTGTTGGAAAAACAGCTCTTCCACCACTGGAATAATTTTAATGAAACTGAAAAAGTTAACATGTACATCTACAACTGAATACTTTTTGTGTCATTCCAATTTAATATGCCTGCTACAGGTAATGGACATTAGCCAATACAAAAATGGCTATAAATCAGTCAATTTTACAAATGGGGACCTACACTTTGATGTAGGAGTATCTGAGAAATATTTACAACACAAACTCTGAGTGCGATATCTCACAATATTGCATGTGATCACACATGACATTGTTTTGAAAGTTTGACCAAAACAAGGAAAACGCTGTCATTTCTCAAAATAAGATGTTTTTTGGTTCAAACTTTGACATGAAAGGCTAAGGGCAATATGCATCCCTCAAGTAATGTTAAGCATTTATAGAATGTTTGATATTAGATCATATTATATATTACATTATTCATCCATCCATTATCTTTCCATGCGTCTTCCTTTTCGGGTCATGTTATATATATATATTTTTTTTTTTTTTTATGCAGTACTGTGACACATTTGGTAGAGCTGTGAGGATAATGGTGTCGTCCGCGTCATGTCTGATAATGATGACCCTTGCTAGCTTCTGGCATGTGCTCGTGTGTGACTGGCAAATCTGAACGTCATCTTAAATATTCGGTTGTGGGATGTAACTAAGTACAAGTACTTCATTACTGTACTTAAGTACACTTTTCATGTATCTGTACTTTATTTAAGTAGAGTTAAGCATGGGTACTTTTTACTTTTACTTCACTACATTTTAGATTAAATATCTGTACTTTCTACTTCACTATATTTCTATAATGCGTTGTGTTACAAATTACATTCACGTTGCAACTTTTTTATTTGTTCGTTAATTTGAAAGTAACCAATGGAGAGAGGGGAGTTGGTCCATTGAATCACTGCAAAGTGGGCAGGTAACGTTAGACCCACCTTCAAGAAGAGCTATATTCTAGTATATACATCACTGAGCTGGGCGCACCCACAGCACCGCTAACACACCCAAAATGAATTCCACCAAGGAAAGTCAGCCAGAAGATACAGTATGTGCCACCCATAGCCTTATTGAAAGACTATTGAAAGTCTATAGAAAGACTATTGAAAGATTATTGAAAGATTATTGAAAGTCTGTTGAAAGACTATTGAAAGATTATTCAGTACAGCAAGACAGATTCTCTCT